CTGCCCCAGGGCCCCAGGCACCCTTCCTGGGCTCACTTCATGCCGTCAAGTGCCCCATGGGGCTGCACTATAAAAGCCACACCCCTCCCAGCCATTAGCCAGCCAATCCATGCTCTTGGCCATTCTGTCTCACAATCCCTTTGTGCATTTCTTATTTTAAAGGTTTAAAGGGGCCTAAGTGAAAAGTCACATATTTTATGAAACCCAGGAGTGTAGAACCCCACAAAGTTCAGTGCAAAGAGCATGGCCTGCCTTCTCCAAGTCAGGTGGCCTGAATTCTAGCCACTGGGTGACCTCAGGTGTGTCACTGGGCTTCCTGTTCATACCTGCAGAAGGACTTGGTTAGGTGGTCTCCAAGGTCCTATCTATTGCAAACATTTAATAATGAAAGGGTGCCTATCCAGTCACAATCAAGGTAACTGTGAGCCAGGACATGGTTTGAAATCCTCACAACAATCTTATGAGCAAGATTCTATCGCCACCCCCGTCTATTACAGATGAGGAAGTTGAGGCACAGAGAGGGTGAACAGATTTCCCAAGGATGCAGGACTAGTCAGGATTCGAGCCCAAACAGTTACACTCCTGACCCACACTTTTAACCACCATTGCTCTGCCTCTTTGTCTTAACAATTATGAAAACGCACTCTGGGGTCTTTTTCCCTTGGGAAACTGTGCTTTAGCACTGGATCCACTGCGAATCTGGGAAGGAAAGGGGCCCAGAGTCAGAGGGAAGTGGCTGGAGACAGGAGAGCTCCCAGGAAGGGGGAGGCAGCAGGTCTTGCAAGACGTGAGCCTTACTTACTCTTTGAAGGAGCTGTAATACTGATTGACAAATTCGATAGCTTGAGGTAGAAGCTCGTCTGGGGAGGTAGGCTTGTCCCTGGGTCCTCTGGTCAAGCTTTTGGAGTTCATGATGGATCCCAAGCAACACTTGGACTTGCAAGCCAAATCCTGCAAAGGGAGAGGTGGGTGGTGAGGTGGGCAATTTTGATGGCCATCCTCTCCAGGGCTAGCTCTCCGGGCCATGTTCTTCCACTCTGGCTGCTCCAGAACTCCACCATCCCTCTCCACGCCTTTGGCACCTCCTCCTTGGTGTCCATCAGGCTTTCTCCCCACTTAGATTTCTTTTCCTCTACTGGCTGGACCCCACTGAGTGTGAGCTGAGGAGGTGTGCTGCCCCTCACCCAGGTTCAGCCTCTTGGTATTATTCCCAGCCAGCTCCAGACCCAGAACAAAGTCAACATCTCTATCCCTGGGGACATCTCGACTACCTTCTCATTTAAAGAGGCTGATGTGGCCACTGGGAACACACTATTGGTGTTCAGCAAAAATGAACTGAAATGAGATGGTGCAAATCCCAAAGTCAGAGGGTGGCACAGAAAAAGTACTGGAAGGAAGTACATCCCAATGTTCACTGCGATCATTTCTAGAAGGTGTGGGAAATAGTTCTGCTTTCACGGTCTTGAAATTTTCAATTCTTTCCCACTTAGATGCATTAGATAGAATGCATTCTAAATTTAGAATGACAAATGTAGGGGAATATCAAAGGGCCTTAAAGGACACTTAGTACAACTACTCATTGGGTGCTTGAACCCCTTTCTAATATCCCTAAACTGGAGGCCTGGTGCACAGATTTGTGCACCGGTTGGGTCCCTCGGCCTGGCTTGTGCCCTCTCGCAATCCGGGACCCCTCGGGGGATGTCAGAGAGCTTGTTTTGGCCTAATACCCACAGGCCAGGTCGAGGGACCCCACTGGTGCACCGGGGCCTCTGGTATGCATATAAGATCTTTGATTAATCTCTTCCTGCCCTTCCCCCTCCCCCCTTCCCTCTGAGATTCATCAGTCTGTTCCATGTTTCCATGCCTGTGCATTGAGTATCTGCCCCTAGTCAGTGCACATCATAGCTACCGGTCGAACGGTCGCTTAGGCTTTTATATATATAGATAGCTCTTGAATGCTTCTAGTGACAGGAAACTCACTACCTCTTGATATAGTTCAGTTAAGTTTGAGCAGGTCTGTTAGAAAGTTCTCCCTGATACTATGCTGATATCTGTGTCTCTGTGGAAAAGAATTAATTTGTTCCTGTAACGGTTGATATCACCTCTGGATTATCCATTATCCATGAGGGGGGTTCACGGGGAGTTGGCCTCATTTACTTCCTACTGTTATTTATGAGGAACACAGGACTCTGTTCCCGGCACCGTTTACCCAAGTGGAAGACAGCTTGCTTTGCCCAGGGGGACATCTGTCTGATCCTCTAAGGGCCCTGATGGCTTCACCGACTTGGGACAAAGGTGGTTCCCCCTGAAGCCCCAGACTTCTCACCGCTTTGGCCTTGTGGTGAAGTGTGTCTTGGAGAGTCATCCCACTGCCCCAGTTTTTGACCCTCACATGTCGTGGGCAGGCCGATGGGGGCGCATCCAGCTTAACCGGGGATTCTGGAGACTTCTAAGAGGGAGAAGAAAATAGGGATTTCCAAATGCCTCCAACTTCAGGATCCCATGGGTCTCTCCCTGGCCCCTGGGCCCTGCTTTGGCTTTGGGTAGGGGTGGGGAGCTAGGGTGGGTAACAGGCCAGGGTGTCGATCCATGTCCCTCCTCCCTTCCCGGCAGCCTGGCCACCTGGACCAGCGCCTGCTCAGAGTTCCAGGTGCCTGGGCCACTGGCCAGGCTTCTCTCCTCACCCAAGACCCTGCCAAATGCTCCCTCAGAGGAATTGCAACAGTGGAGACTAAGATTAGATGCAAAGGAGGCTACTGTCACAGTCAATACCGCTGAGAACAGAAACCAGGATGAGGAATAACCTCCCACTGCCTTCCACAGAGGCATTTAAGAAAATGAAAACCATCTTCTATCCCAGCCCCTCCCCACCCACCCCACCCCCCATTCTCTGCCCATCTCCCTGGAACGCTGAGGTCCAAAGCACTTAGGCAAGAGAGAACCATGGATAGAGGCTGGGGCTGGGACCAAAAGCCTCAGCTGTCGAGTCTGGGGTAATGTTGGAGTGCCACTTCTGACTCCATGATGGTCTCCTCTCACCCATGCCAAGTCCTCCAGGTGCCAGTGCACCTTGGGGGCCGCCACTCCAGATCACCACGGATCATCCTGCTCTCCCAAAGTCCTTCCTCACCCCCACCTGTGTCCCCTGGGTCTCCACTCACAGCCCAGACCCCAGCTCCCACCAGGCTGCTCAGCCTGCACCTGCGTGGGCGAGGGGGGAAGGGGCTTCCCACACCCCTGTGACTCACTGACCTTGGCCGTCCCCGTGAAGGGCTGGGGGGCCTCGTTCCGGTGCTTGCTGAGGCTGTGACACTTGGGGTCATCCTGTGTCACTGGACTGTGAAAGGAAACAACTGTGATGAGATGGCGTATCTGAGGGCAGAGAGGGCTCTTAGAGTCCCTTCTGCCAGCCTGTCACTTGATGGGTGAGGGGACCGAAGTCCGGAGAGTGGGAATGAATTGCTCATGGTCTCCAGCCAAGGAGGATGTGTGTATGTGGCGGGGGAAGCAGCCAGTCAGATCCAATCACCCCACCATCACCACCCTCCCTCCTCTTCTTCTCTTGCCTTCCCTCTACAAAGCCAAAACAACATGAAGGGAGCTGAACCAAAGCTGGGGGCCCAAAGGATGACCCACAGAAGCTTCAGGAAGATGCCTCCTTCAAAAGCTGAGTACAGCCTGGCCGGTGTGGCTCAGTGGTTGAGCATCAACCTATGAACCAGGAGGTCACAGTCCTATTCCCGGTCAGGGCACATGCGGGAGTTGCGGACTCGATCCCTAGTTGGGGCGCACAGGAGGCAGCCGATCAATGATTCTGATCATTGATATTTCTATCTCTCTATCCCTCTCCCTTCCTCTCTGAAATCAATAAAAGTTTTTTTTAAAGCCAAGTACAATCGTGGGTGGGCAGACAATGGCTTCTCCAGCCCAGCAACACTGCCCACCACCCACGCATTTTGGAGGATTGAGCATTTTTATTTAAAGCATTCGATTTGTCTCGGTTTATTTACATATTCTAAATTTTTATTATGAAAAGTGTTAAACATACATAGTCAAGATAATAGAATAATAAACCCCATGGGCCCTTCACCCAGATTCAACCCAATCAGCAATTATCAGCCCATGGCCAGCCTGTTGCAGCTCCACTGCTCCCGCCCCCACCATCAGTTTAAAGCAAGTCTGGGAGGCCCCGTCATCCTTAAATATCTCACTAAGCATTTCTGGAAGATAAGGGCTCTTTAAAATAAAACATATTGGTTACATTTATCTTAAAACAATAGATTTAAAGAACTTAGCCGGGCCCAGCCAGTGCAGCTCATGGTTGAGCATCAACCTACGAACCAGGAAGTCATGGTTCGATTCCCAGTCAGAGCACATGCCTGGGTTGCAGGCTCAGTTCCCAGTGTGGGATGCACAGGAGGCAGCCGACCAATGTTTCTCTCTCAGCATTGATGTTTCTATCTCTCTCTCCCTCTCTCGTCCTCTCTGAAATCAATAAAAATATATATTTAAAAAAAAAAGAAGAAGTTAGCCTGTCTTTTGGAGAAAACCCTGACAGTCTGAAATCACTGAGAAACCATTGGCTCTGGTTTGGGATTTCAGGTTCGCTCTCCTGGCAAATGCTGCGGGGAACAGAAGACGTGTGGCCCCCCTGGCTGCATACTCATGAGCGTCACACCCCACACATGCCTCCTCCTGGGGTGGGTCACACGGCAGGGGCACTTTAGTAGGAAAGCTGGTTTGTTCCATGTTCTTTGCACTATTTTCCGGGGTGTGCACACACATCAAGGGGAAGGGGGTTGGGTGGTGTTACAAAAGGGCCTCTCAGTTTCCACTTTACACATATCTGTGATGTTGGAATATGACAAATGGGCATGCATTGCTTTTATTACTGACAAAAGTACTATTTAGGTTGTGCCCAGTTTCCTCACTAGTATAAACAACTCCCCAAACTGTGAACATGGTCTGATTGTGCGTGTGTGTGTGTGTGAGTGTGTGTGTGTGTGAGTGTGTGTACTAGTAAAAGCATAGAAAAACACAATGTTAACAGTGACTAGCATTCAGTGATGAGAGCATGGACATTTAAAATTTTTCTTCAGACTTCTCTGCATTTTCCAACTTTTTACAGTGACCACAAATTCCTTCCCCCAATGGGGGAAAGTTTTTAAATTTGAAAATGAATAAACAAAGCGACGCACAGTCACCTTTCTCCCCAGGTTAGCAGATTTCCTTAGACCAGCTGCTGGGAGACCGGTGACCAGAAGCCAGAGGAGCATGTGAAGGTTCCGGATACTGACTGACCAGCTATTGCACTGTCCCCTCGGACACTCAGTGCAAGTTGGGCAACCACAGCTGCGCTTGGTCCTGCTTGCTCCTTCGTGGGGACAGGGGACCCTTACGGACCTGCCCACTGCCAGCGCGGTGCTAGCTCAGACCCAGGACCAGAGCTGCAGTCTGGTTTGGGGGAAGCAGGGGCTGACCTGGTCCTGACTCTCCCGCCGTTCCCACTCCTCCCTACCTAGCCACCGAGGGAAGGGGTCAGGGAGGAGCCCTGGGAAACGGATCTTATTTGTAAAACAAGAGCCTTCTTGCTCTCTTATGTCTGTCCTACAGGGTGCAGCAGCCCCGGTGCTGAAAAGCCTAGAAAGCTCCCAAGTGCCGAAACACCCACCATCCCACCCCAGCCCTCCTGGACGCGGCTCCTGGGCGCACGCGGGGCTTCCCTGGGTTTGTGGCTACTGCATTGCAACCTCTTAGGCGTCCCCACCGAGGAGAACACTTTGGGCGAATCCTCATCGGATTCGAATATTCCAACCCTCCTATTTTCACGGGAAACCGACGCTCAGACAGGGACAGTGCCACGTCGGGTTGCAGCC